TTTTAAGACTTCGTGTTTAATTTCCTGACTCCATTTTTCCATCTTCACTTACCTTCGTGGCTTAGTGCATAACGACGAAATGACGAAATGCTGCTGTATATTGCATAAAAAATTTTGCGATATAAATCAAGTTACTTCGCATATCAGCTCGCTGTTCATCCATTAAAAGTCGACTTCAAACTAAATTATATTAATAAATTTAAATTTTGTGAATTACTCACAGAGATATTCATTAATACGTAAATAATCAACACCTGCTGATGGACAGCAAAACTCGGGACTGCGCGCTGAATTAATGAGTTCTCGCAGGTAGAAAAATAAAAATAATAAAATAAAACACGAAAGCACAGAAATTCACTAGTCTGACGAAAGTGTCATATTGTGGTAACGGAGAGCTTCATGGTGGGCTGGATATAACAGCTGATCGAGATGAACAGAGTCCAATTAAATAGAATCAGATGCGCCACAGGACTGCACGCTGATAACGACTATCGAACGGCACCGAATCGCCCAATTCCGGGCATTAATTGTATATGGCAGTCCACAATCCCTGTGAACAGGTGAGTACTGAGGAGCCACTAGAGAATACGAAAGATTTTGTGGCTTAATTAGTGGGTACTCATAGGCAGCGATCAAGAAAATCGACTACTTGCCAGTGCAGCGATACCGTTTTGTGGGTTCACTTATTTTAAACTTTACATTCGTGCATACTTGATTATCTTCAACAGTTCAGCGTATGAACTTCCGATTTCATGTTACTTGTACAACAAATAAGTAAACCCGTTCCTGAAATATCGTGGATGAACCACATGCTGATTCAGCTCATTAAGGGAAACGCATCTATGTACTGCAGGAGTTCTGATGCTACGTAGCTCCAGTGAGCTGCTTAAACGGCACCTAACATATCCAAGAGCAACCAAACGCTATGCACAGCATCAAGCTTAGTTCTGAAGTAGAAATTTGTTTGTTAACATAATCCAGAAGAGATATTTTAGATGTTTCTAGAAAGAATATGAATCCCGCTCAAAAAGAATTACCACTAATGAGCAAGATGCTGCGCTAGCGAATAAAATGATAGGTGAGGAATATACGCTAAAGCATGTTGAACGCTGACCTGTATACATAGCCTCCCAAACATCAACGAGTCAGAGTGTATTGCTATAATGCAAAGCAACGAGCTAATTAAACGAAACTCTTATGATACGAATAGTATTCATTGCCTGTCAAGTTTCATCGTCTTTCAGAACATGCCTGCTATTAAAATATGTTAGACGGTGAAGTTCAGCTAACAAATGAACAGGGGAGACAGTTTTTACTGACCTTCTCGCAGAGACAGAAATAAACTAGTCAGAAAGCACATATAACACCAGTTCAAGCCAACGGACAAGAGCGATGACCGTGTTTCTACTTACTTCTAAGGAAGGTGGAAATAAAATAAAACAAGCGATCAACATATGTAACAAACGCATAAATGGAAAAATATATTCTGCCAATGTTGTACCTTATTCTGATGCATGGCTGAGTCGAACGTTACTGGGTTTTCGTTCATCAGATTTGAGTCACCCATGCTGCTGAAGATGTCGTTCAGATAACCCCCTTCCTCGCCATTCATCAGTTCTTCCATCAGACTATCAAAATCGCCATCGTTTTCATCTGAACCGGGCAAACCACCAGAAATAACGCAGTTCTGATTCATCTAAAACAAAACAGTTCAGCAGTGTAAGATCGATGCAACTTATTAGAATCAGACATCTGGTGGTGGCACTGTGAATGTCTTATGACCAATGTATTAGATGCATTAAACGGTTATAATCACCTGAATCAGCGCCGACGTTGGGAATACCATGATGTGCGTACAGGATACGTCGTCCGGCGACGATAGAGAACACTGCTTCGCTCCTTGGCCAAAGCGATCGTCATGAACAAACGAGTGAGGGAAGACACGCAGGTTGACCTCCAGTTCAGTGCTCACCAGACAGGCTGACAGAATGGCCGGCGTTTCGAACACCGACGGCATCGGCTGACAAACCGAGCATTTCTCCCGCAAGAACTTACTGGTGGTTTTCAGGTGATTTTTGCTCAGCAGATGGGCCCAGCCTGAAAGTAATAGGCAAGTGTAACGAGCAGAAACACAAACAGAGACGCATACCCTTCAACTCTTCATGCCCCAAACGACCCAACCGACCGATTACCAGCCGCCACGGCTTACAGCTGCTCGCTAAGATGCCCACTATAAAATCCCACAACCGACTTAGAGCATTCCAGATGATCTCGCGTCTGACAACGTTCCGACGTTCTTGCACATTAAGGTTTATCACACAGCTGTCCAGCATCAGCCCGTACTGGTCGGTAACCGTCGCCAGAAGCCAATGTTGTTGAGAAGAAAGACAGTACGAAAGGAAAAGCACCTGGCCATGGTCATCACGGTTCTCGTTGACTGCTGCAGAAATGCCGCTCAGTTGAGAGGTGCGATGGTCGTGAACGGGGGCCAACACGACGGCTGGGGAGTAAACCTTGAAGTCGGAAAACTTCTCCTTCTTCTTCAGCAGTTCGCATCTGCTTGCTGCTGGACCAAAACCGGTCAGAACTTTAGCCTGCAAGTTCTGGAGACAGGAAAATCCAACACTTCGTATTTGAGTGAAGACGTTTAAAGCTAATGTTCGTAAGTGATCAGTCTGGCTAAGCGAAGGTTGCTGAACTTTTGCCTTGCCTAAAAGCTTGGTAAAATAAAGCGATTTACAATATGCAATATCTGCAATAAAAAATATACGTGAAATTAACGGAATAAATCAAATATAACTAAATTTAGATATTTACACTTCCTGCTTCAGAGTCATTTGATGGCGACACTAGCACTTTTTCTATTTCAAACTTTGGTTTAAGATTTGTTTCAATAAAATGGAACTAACAGTACATAACCGACCACTTCTGGACATAATTTAAATATTTATTTATGTAAAGTTATGATGCATCCAAAATAATATTTCACTGGTCTTCAACAGTTTACGGCTGATGATTACGCTTGCAAACATCCAAAGTCGGGATTCAGTCAGATTTTAATCAGTACAAATGTAAGAAAATCAATCCACAACAATTTATTTTACTTATTCGATGAACTTAAATTCAAAACATCGTATGAACCATACACTACGCTGATTCGTACTTTAATTCCTACTTTCTTGAAAACTTCTTAGGATTCTAAATAAAATAAATATTCCCTTTCTGCCATGTGTAAATAATGAAGTTCGTAAATGAGTTGAGAAATGAGAACAATTTTCCTCTTCTTTATTGCACGGATAGCTGAGTAGATAGATCTTTCTGTACATTGTGCAGAAACTTAAAGATAAGGCTGAAGATATTCACTACACATTCGATTACAGCTTAAGACTGATGGACAGAAAATGTCCATGTGTTAAGAACCCTGACTGTCTCAAGACTGCGGTTTAGTGACTACAGTATACGAGTACTGTCAAAACACTGCGAGGTATGTTTCGTTATTATTCGTCTTTATTCTTATGAGGCAGATAAACGAGTATCACTTCGTACCAAGGAAGCAAAAAACATAAGCGGTGCTCGCGAATATAACTGCAGATGTAGTGGTAAAACAGAACGGACTTTAAAATGATGGTATCGAGGCAGAGATCAGATCTGCTTATAAGCTAAATGAAGCAAAAGTACATCAAGCTCGGACTTCTTCACAAAAAAGCACTCATGTACTGCTTCTTCAGGAAATCTGCAGATTGTTTCATACATGCCACTGGATCAAAAGAATGATACTCGTCCTGTTACAGCTAATAAATCGATACCTTACTTGTCCTCCATGCTTCACTACCGAACAAGCAGAGGCCATTTACAGTGCCATGAAAATGCGGGAATTTAAACCATCTCTGAGAGTGCAGTAGCTGAAGCAGTGCGAAGCTGCCTTGATGCCTGTCCATGGCCTTACTCTCGCCCTGATAATAAATACTGGATACTGTTGGATGACCGAAACAGTGTGATACCAGACAAAAGGGATACTGATGAAATCTCTTGTAAAGATTGCTTGTGTGCCAGGATTCGACAAGAACGTGAAGACGGCAAATTTTAGCCATTCATTCTCTACAACAGAAGACCAAAAACGTGATAGTTTAGACATGTGATGAGGATGCCACATGGTAGACTCTAAAGATGCACTCTCTTGGCAAAACCGCGGTAAGACGGTTCGGATAGATTGTAAAGACCAGACGCTATGCTACCCAGCTTATCAGATTGGCGGAGAACCAAAATCATTAGAAAAGCCATTTGATACAGTTGTTCCCATGATCAGAAAGGGCAACAGGACCTTCAGTGCAAATGAACAAGTTAGTATTAGGCACAGTTTTTAAATATGTTGATGTATGTTTAAATAAATTATTCTGTTAAATTAATCAAATCTATAATTGAAAAAGAAATTAAGACTAAAACCATCCAGACAATAAGTTTTGACAGAACGGTTGGTATTGCTTCATTCCCAAACCTTTTAAAGAAACGGTGCTCGAGCATTACTTCCCCCCCCCC